AGCTGGGTGTGGTAGCGCATGCCTGTAGTTCCAGCTACTTGGAAGGCTGAGGCGGAAGGATCACCTGAGCATGAGCACGCCACTGCCCTCCAGCCTGGGCGCAAGAGTGAGACTCTGACTCAAAAACAAACAAACAAAAAAAACCCATGCTTATACATGTCCAAATGGAGAGACTATATGTGTGACAAGAATGTGTTTCAAATGTATTCTGAAACAGGACCCAGAAATCACTCCAAATTTCACTTCCCTTATGTTCATAACATGCCCTTTACCTCAGAAACCAACAGAGTTAGCAGTTTTGTTGAAATCTGTAGTTTTATGTTTATTTTTATGTCATTTTATCTGTTCTATTATGTTTATTTCTGATTATTGAAAATAAAGTAGTAGAGAAAGACTGAAGTAATCTTGCTTTTGGAAATAACATGTCTACAGAATTGTTCTCATTCTTCTAACAAGTGATCAATTTAGAGATGTAGTGAAAGATATGATAATTCAACATGTTTTAAACTTTTTTAAAGATATGAAAAATTATAAGAAAGAACTCTAAACCTTTGAGAAGCATTGCTTATGCTGTGAATACTTTGGTTTCTTGAAGATTGTACAGTTTAGAGAGATTAGAAATGTGAGCAGTGTCCTCTGTGAAACATCTGCTGTGAAATGTAGTACAGTCTGTCATGAGATGTGTGGTCTGAAGTAATTTACACACTCTTATCTATGGGGTTGAGAACATGGCATATGTTATTTAATGTTGTCATGTTCCTGTTACAACATAATGAATATATCTTTGCAAAAGAGCCCTACAAGACTTTCTCTAATTTTAAGTTTTATGTTTTTATTCCTTTAATCATATTGTATTCTTTTTCATCAAGTCTCTGTAGTTACATTATGACTCATTTTTCATTTCACCTCACCTGCATTATACATGGTTTGAGCACATGGACTCCAGACATCCAAAAATGAAGCTATGTCTGCATTATGAGAAATGTGATGAATTAATCATTGAGCAAATAAATTACTCAGCAGAAAACTCAAGCTGGAGAAGCAAGAAGTATTTCTGCTATACAACTATTATTTTTGCTGACTATTTTTTCCCATGTTTGCACATTTTTTCACCTTGAACTTCTTAATATCTAAGTCCACGATTACAAGATTATAGACTTTTGTTGGAGGAGTTTTGTGTTTTCAGTAATGTAAATATAATCAACATTAAATACATGGGGGGGAAGTAATAATGAAGTGTTCTGACAATATTCATAGTTTATAGCTTAGTGGTTCTTAACACTTTTGGGGCTCCAGACTTCTTTTGAGAATCTAATGAAAGATTTGGACCTATCCTTCATAATATTACACAAGTGTATCAGTCCATAATTCTGTTTACAGTTTCAGGGATCCCCAGACACGTAAAAGCTGTTCTTAGATTGGATCTGTGGACTCCAGGTAAAGATTCTCTGGTCTAGATGATTTTTCCAGTATAGAAAAAATATTTTTCATTAGATTTTTTTTCTACATTTTTAATTTTGAAATATAAAAAACATTCAGAAAATTTTATAAAATGTGCAGTTTAATAAAATAATTAAAAAGTGAACAGCCTAGGTCCAGAACAAGAAAAAAATACTTCTAGTACCCCAAACTCTTCCTGTGTATCCTTTTCTGATCACAATCCTTTGCCTTCCCTTCTTTCCCAATATACTCATTATCCTGTTTTTTGTGATAATTTCTTGCTATGCTAGGCACTGATACTGCATGTGCATGCTGCCCTAAATAAATATATATGTTTTTGTGTTGCTTGTTTTTGAACTTTATTTAAAGGAAATTACACTCTGTTTTCATCTTATTTTTACCAACATTTTGAGAAGTTTGTACATTTTGTTGTATGTAACTGCAGTTCATCTTTATTATATAGTATACTATTTAATAAATATATCGCAGGTTATCCATCCTACTGCTGATGGACATTTCAGTTGTTCCTAGTTTTTGACTACTAAAAATAGTCTGTTCATGACCGTTCATATATGTGCATCTTGAGCATGGCTGCATGCACTTCTCTAGGGCAATGACTCTCAGTTTAGTCCCCAAACCAGCATCATAGCGTTAGCTAAGAATCTGATAGAAATGTAAAGTTTCAGCCGGGCTCGGTGGCTCAACCTGTAATCCTGTGCTTTGGGAGGCTGAGGTGAATGGATTGCCTGAGCCTGCGGGTTCGAGACCCGCCTAGGTAACTTGGCGAGACCTCATCTCTACAATAAAAACAAAATTAGCCAGGCGTGGTAGCGCGTGCCTGTAGTTCCAGCTCCTTGGAATGCTGAGGTGGAAGGCTCACCGGAGCCCAGCAGGTCGAGGCTGCGGTGGCCGGGAGTGGCCACT